GTTTTCTGTATTCTGTATTCTGTATCCTGTATCCTGTGTCCTGTATTCTGTATTCTGTATCCTGTATCCTTTATCCTGTACCCTATATCTTGTATCCTGTATCATGTATCCTGAATCCTGTATTGTCCCTGATTTTGAGATGGTTGGGTTTGTGTTCAGGTTCTCCAGGATACTCCTCAGATGCTTTTCCTGATCATCCAACCTAGAAACCATAGACTAAATATAGAAACAGAACTAATAGCTGATCATCCAACCTAGAAACCATAGACTAAATATAGAAACAGAACTAATAGCTGATCATCCAACCTAGAAACCATAGACTAAACATAGAAACGGAACCAACAGTTGATTATCCAAACTAGAAATCATAGACAGATATAAAAACAGAACAGACAAGTTAGTATATTTAGTATTCAACCTAGAAACATAAACAAACATAAAAAACAACATTTGGATGAACAACCTAGAAACCATCGATTAAAAATAAGAAATAAGAAATAAGAAGAGAAATATGAAAAGGCCTCTAAAATGAGATTCCCATATTGCCTTCGGGAGAAAGCATAGAAACAGAACAGATAGTACTAACTATCCAACCTAGAAACCAAAAACTAAATATAGAAACGTACAGAACCAAGTTTATTATGCAACTTAGAAACTGTAGATTAAATATAGAAACAGAACCAATAGCTGATTATTCAACCTAGAAACCATAGACTAATTATATAGAAACAGCACCAACAGTTTATTATCTAACCTTAAAACCATTAACTAAATAAAGAAACATAACCTACATCCAACCTAGAAACCATAGACTAAAAATAGAAACATGCTAGAAATCATAGACTTAATATAGAAACAGAACAGACATTACTAATTATCCAACATAGAATGCATAGACTAAATATAGAAACAGAACAGACATTTCTAATTATCCAACATAGAATGCATAGACTAAAAATAGAAACAGAACAGACATTACATACTTGTCCAACATAGAATGCATAGACTAAATATGGAAACAGAACAGAACTTACTAATTATTCAAAATAGAATGCATTGACTCAATATAGAAACAGAACAGACATTGCTAATTATCCAACATAGAATGCATAGACTTAATATAGAAACAGCACAGACATTACTAATTATCCAACATAGAATGCATAGACTAAATATAGAAACAGAACAGACATCACTAATTATCCAACATAGAATGCATAGACTAAATATAGAAACAGAACAGACATTACTAATTATCCAACATAGAATGCATAGAAACAGAACAGACAGTATTTTATTGATTATAAAACCTCGAAACCAGATATAATTCAGAAACTGACTGAACAAAGCTATAACTCATCAAACCAAAATCCCTGCATAAAATAAACAAAAGCTGATCATAAACGAAAAAATTCATAAGTAAACCATAAGCCAGTTAATTGCCGAATACAGTGCAAATACGTTATAAAGCGTAAAGTGTACTTTGCATGACAAAAATTTGTGAACTTTTTTTACACTTTTTACTTTTAATGAAAGAGTTTAACTGATTACTGATTATTTAAGGATTTAATACTGATATATGATTAATCTTTAATAGCCATCTGGTTCAATCTGATCTAATTCATCTACTGATTAGATAGCAGGTAGGTAGGAGGAGAAGGGGGCAGATTGACAGGGGGCAGACTGACTGACTGACTGACTATATAATTACCTGAATTCTAGAGGTTCCACATAGTTTCTGGGAACAAACCCTGAAAAATTGTCATTATTTTAAAAACCAAGGGATTTTGTTTACAAACATCTGCAGTACAATTCATGACGTCACCCACCTGAGTTTCCTTTTATATTTGTGACAAAATACCAGTTTTTGTCAGAGCGTGCCCCCGGCAGCTCAATGAAGATCTCGTTGGATGAGAAGGAGAGGGTGGAGGGGTAGGTCGCCTGCAAAGTATTCATGAGTATCTATACTGAAGTGGGATTCTTAGAACTGTGGAATAGGAAAACAAAAAGCAATCGTATTTGTCTGGGCTGTGTACACTGCACAATTTCTGTGTTTCATTTTCATTAGACTATTCAATATCATAACTTTAGTGGAATTCCTATTCCACAGTTTAATAGGTTTCACTATACAGAACATAAATAATCAAAATAGTAAAAAAAACGTTTAAAACCCCGATATCAAAATAAAGTTCAGTTTTAAATACGTCCTACTTCCATACTACAAAGTGACTTTACAAAATCAAGTAAGGACTTACTATTTTTTTATGGATCTATTTCAAATTCTTATTCGACAGTAATTCAATAGTTTTCTGGTTAATACTGTGTTGGTCATACTATGTACGTGTAACGCTTTTCCTGAATACATTCTNAAAACAAACATTTTGTTTAGTTTGAGACATTTTAATTTTCATTTAATTTTTTAAAAGTTAAATAAACCCCTTTAATAAAAGAAAGTGATTTCATATTAACTTTTTTACCTTGTAATTGTACAGAGACTTGTACATGACTTAGTTTTCGCCTAAGGCCAATGTACATTTATTGAAACCATGTACATTTAGTTGTACATTGGTAAGCGGACAAAAATCTGAAATCAAGACTTTTTTATCCTTAAATTTTTCTATTCTTTGGAATAAAAAGTGTCCTGATAACTAATCATTTTTATCATGTTATTTTCTTTCTCCCTTTTTTCTTTATTTTTTTCTGTACTAAAACAAATTAGAACTATTTTCTTTAAATAACTTTTTTAATACACATACATTTTATACACAGCAATTTTATTCTCTACTTTTTTCAGAATTAATTTTTTGCAATTTTTTTTATAAGACACACTTTATATTCATATTGTTGGAATTATGATATACAATATATATTTTTTGTTTTGATACTAAACAGTTTAAATCTAGACATCACCAACCCAACACATCCTTGAACTGATGATTGATGATAATATTTTGATCGAAATATATACCCTGAACTGCAACAGTCTGTATTTTATTCCATGTTTGGTTGAGATTTCTCTATACCTTTTTTAACTTTTTTAAATTGTCTCTAACCTTAGTTTAATTTAACCCCCCTCTGTAAGCTTGAAAAGATAGTTTAATCCCTCCATGAATTGTACAGTTAGAATTTTTTAAAAAGTTTTTCACCATATTAACCGGGGCAGGGGCCCCTGCTGAAAGATGCCTGGAATTGGATGAAAACTTTATGAATATCAAATATATCTATAAATCTTTAAATAATTCGGCAAACTTAACTTTTCTTCACATTTTAATTTGGCAAGGAAAGCTTGACATGCATGAACATGGTGGATCACTTAAAGAACTTTTTTGGGTCCGTCCTAGCTTATACGATTTTTGGACCCCCTCCCCCCGGCCTCCCCCTCCTATCAATTTTGTACATTACCTAGATTTCAACCATTGTCAACAATAAATATATATTTTGTATTATTTCAGGGTTAGGTTAGATAGGACAGTTTCTGGGTCGAACGCTGCGGCTAGAATAGGCTAGGGGGCCAAGCGCTGCGACAAAATTGACAGGAGGAGGGGGGCAAGGGTCCAAAAATCGTTCTCTAGGATATTACCATTTTTTAGAGGGGGGGGGGGGGGGGTATTAAATTTCTTTTTCTGCCAATTATGAAACCACCTTTTAAACAATTGTTGTATTATTTTAAACAATTGTTGTATGTATTTGTAGGGGGCCGAGCGCTGCGGCCACATGTTAGGTTAGTCAAGACACTTTCTGGGCCGAGCGCTGCGGCTAGGACAGGCTAGGGGGCCGAGCGCTGCGGCCACAGGTTAGGTTAAGTTAAGACACTTCCTGTAAGACCCATGTACAAAATTGATAGGAGGGGAGGATGCAAGGGTCCAAAAATCGTTCTCTAGGATATTACCATTTTTTAGAGGGGGGGGGAGGGGGTATTTAATTGCTTTTTCTGCCAATTATGAAACCACCTTTTAAACAATTGTTGTATTATTTTAAACAATTGTTGTATGTATTTGTAGGGGGCCGAGCGCTGCGGCCACATGTTAGGTTAGTCAAGACACTTTCTGGGCCGAGCGCTGCGGCTAGGACAGACTAGGGGGCCGAGCGCTGCGGCCACAGGTTAGGTTAAGTTAAGACACTTCCTGTCAGACCCATGTACAAAATTGATAGGAGGGGGGCTGGGGTCCAAAAATCGTTCTCTAGAAATATACCAGTTATGTTTAGTAGACGTTGCAAAGCAAATATCAAATTCAAACCATCTTTTAAAAATTAGTATAAAATGTGCAATGTAAACAATCAAATAAACATTAATTGTCTTTTAAAACATCGCTTGTTTATTGATTTATTAACGTTTATTTCTATATGCATCAGAAGGCAAGCATCTTAAATTCTTAAATCACTGCAAGGCTGCCAAAGCCTGTGTTTTGTATTGATCTGCAAAATAAGACGGGTGTGTACGCTCAATGTTCGCGATAACCTCAAAAAATCAGCTGATTGAGGACATAAATCCTCCAAATGTAAATAAAAGAGACAATCAAAGACAAAAAGATTTAAACTTTAAATTTTTTTTAAAATCGCATAGAATTTAATAATATAAACTATAACTAGGAATTTTTACTATTTTGATGAAAATTATTTCCATTTTAAGTAAAAATATATTGTGAGAGATCAACTTGGAATTGTCGTTTATTTTAGTCTCAAATATTTAAATGTAAATTTTTTTTCCATGTCGCAACGGAGAGAAGTTAATTTTCCCAATTTTCTCCATTTTAAAATAATTCTTTTTATTTTTGAATTTGATTGAAGACGATCTTTAGGTAAAATTTCTAAAACTACGCGGCATCCGCATGTCCATATTTTCATACAAATGTTTTTAACAATTGTCAATGATGCCGACCGAAAATTGATCTTGTTCTTATATTTTATTTATTGAAAGGTTTTTACAAAGTCTTATTTAAAAATAATCTATATTACAGTATATAAGATAGCATTTAACGACAGATTAATTTATAATATATCTTCGGACCGATCGGAGGAGGGAGACAGATTCATATTTGATTATTTTTACAGATTCTGTGGAAGTTGGCAAAATGGCGAAAAATGAAATAGCAGCGATGTTAGGTAATGTTTTTAGTATTATTTCCGGGTTAGGTTAGATTAAGAGATTTTTTGGGCCGAGCGTTGCGGCTAGGCCAGGCCAGGGGGTGGGGCGTTGCGGCCACATGACCAATTATATCAATGTGTTATATATGAGATAATTTATATAATGATTCATGATTATAACAGCGTTTTAGAGTATATACTATGATGACATAGTTAAAGACGCACAATTATTATGAAATTTACGACAGTAAAACGTATTATTTAGTAATTTCCTATTAGAGGATTTGGTTATATCCTAATGTTCGCTTTTAGGACCCCCCCCCCCCCATAAACTTGTACTTTCATCTTATATGTAACACATGGATATAATTGTCATGTGGCCGCAGCGCCCGGCCACCTAGCCTCTCCTAGCCGCAGCGCTCGGCCCAGAAATGGATTTAACCTAACCTGACCTTGAAATAATACTCTGTAAACATTAACTTTGTAGAAAATTGTTTAAACCGAGGTCATGTACAAACTTGATTGATGGGGGGGGGGGGAGAGTTCCAAAAATCTTAAACTAGGGATGTACCAAGGATTATGGACATCCACCTTACATTTAACGCATGAGCGTAGTTGGACATATGGCCCGCAGCCTGCACCCTAGCATGATATATTATTAATTTTGTTAAAAATTATTGGTCATGTTGAAAACTTGACGGGGGGAGGCGGGGGGGGTCCAAAAAGCATTCTCTATGACAGACCCCTGTTTTGAAAAGAGTTATACCCTTTTACTAAACTATGCATAAGACAATCACAAGAAACGCCCCCCCCCCGCTTTTATTCAACTCTCTTTTTTTTGTTTAAAATGTACGTACAACTATTATACAATTTTCAATAGTAAAGGGTATTTTGATATCTATTTAATTTATTAGTTTATAAAAGCTATTTACTATTTTGCCTTGTTCTTCACCTGATCCAAGACAATAGAAAACTAGACTCCCCCCCCCCATCATCTTGAATTATCTGACTGTTTAATGTTTCCATATTATATTTAGACGAGTTGATGGGACGGAATAGAAATGCACATCCTAATGAGAAGGTAAAGTGTTAAAATCGTAGCTTTTTACTTCTTTCTCTAAGTTAAATAAAAATGGTGAAAGCGATTATTTTTGTGTTTCCGTAATAGTGACTTCGGGGAGAATAGAGAGAGTGAAGGACGTTTTCAGAAATCGTTACTTTTCAAGATAGCAATGGGACGATTGTTACTGAGATAAAGATTTACAAAGTGCCGTTGTTGAATCTGAGAAGCCTGTCTCTATAATAGGAATCTGAGAAGGGTCGCTTGCTTTTACGTCTGAAGTCATATTAATTGGAAGATTTTCTTCATCAATTTTATTGGAATTTCTTTTTTGCACTTTTTTTTTAGGAACCTTTGTTGATATTTGAATTTTAAGTTGACAAATATTTTGATGTAACTACTTTAAATTTGATTGAGGGTTACTTTTAGTTTTTTATCTCTAATGCACTAAAAGCTTGCATTTATTGAAGTGAATCTGAAAACCAACATAATATGTAAAAATCCCAAAAAGGATAACATATTGTCCCGAATGAAAACACAAGATGATTGGATATTTTATTCAATTTTACTCATAATATTAGAATTTTATTCTTAATATTAGGATAATATTTTTCGATGCTCTACACTGGGGAAAATGATAAATTGTACATAAACTGGAAAACATTCCAACCATTTTTTTCACTTTAAACCCCAAAAATTCAAGATAATAAGACACCTTACCTGAGGGGTGGAGGGGGGATTTTCAATAAAATATTCAACCCTGCGTTAATTAAAAAAATTTTGAATGAGCATTGATTTTTATGTTTAATGTTTAGGTTGCAGATATAACTTGGGAAGACAGTTCTGTTTGTAAATATTTTCTGGTGGATTTCTGTCCTCACGATTTATTTACCAACACCAAGGTATTTGAATTCATTTGTATTATAATCATATTATTTGATGATCATGAGATTATATTTTCAATTAAGACAGTATATTTAAAGATGTAATTGCAGCGAAGGAGCATATTTGTTTGGCAAAATAACTTGATGAGGGGGGGGTCGTCTTTTAGTTTGTGTTACCTTTTACTTGTTTAGGTTGATCTGGGAGTCTGCCCCAGAATCCATGACGAGGAGTTAAAGAAGAAGTACGAGGCGGCTAAGGAAGGAAGCAAAAAAATGGCCGTGCTAGATGAGTTTATTAGGTCAGTTTAGATTGGGAATATATTCAAGGTTTAGTAAATTTAGAAATTTTCTCAATTGTGATCTTTACTTGAAATTAATTTGAAGAGGAAAAAGGTGAACAGGTTGAGTTTCGGCTTTAATTTCTTAAAAATAATACATGATCAGGAAAATTTTTAACATTATCTTCTTTCTTTATCTGCGTCTGTTAAGGTAAGACTGAAATCTGCTCTTAATTTACGAGAAATACATTCGAGATGAGATCTGGAAGAAGTCCTATCTTGGGCAACCCAAACCGTTAAAAGAAACTATTTTAAAGCTTTTAGATTTGTTTAACCTGTCGAATATTTTTTATCCACCCTTTATATTGAAACCGTTTGAGCAAAATTAATTTTTTTATTCACCTTTTATCCACCTTTTATATTAAATAGTTTGAGCAAAAGTTATTTGAAAATTTTCATTGAACATATTGCACTTTTTGTGCACTGTGCAATAAACTATTTTAGTATTTTGACCTATTAGACATAAACTTTATCTTTTGAGCCTTTCGGTTTGTTACGGCTATTCCAGTAGCTCCTGTTTCTTTTTGTAATAAAATTTGCCCTTGATAAAGGAAACGCGCGTTGGACCATAAGTACAGATTTGAAATTATCACCCTTGAGTTTACCCTTTAATATTTGCTGAAAGGGACTGTGCGCGTGAATTTAAGTGACCCTCCATGCAGAATTGACAATGCCCGATTTACAACGGTACCTTGGAAACCTTTATTTTGAGTATGAAATAGATATCAATATTTTTGTTTCTTCAAACTGTTTATTTTCATTTGCGGTTTTTCTGCGAAAGTGACTTGCGCATTTCTTGTTTTAAAGAAACAATGGAGAAACGCACGGTATCATAAACTTCTTTGATCAAATTGAGGTTTTCATGGTACCATTGTAAATCGGGCATTGTCATCTTTGCATGAAGGGTCGCTTAATAATACGCTTTCAGTCCCTTTAAACATGATTAAATAATGTTTGTTTAGTTACTGTCAGAAGATGATGAACGACCTATCCTTAAAGATAAAGCGGAGTAAGGAGAGGTTGTTGCTCACCCAGATGGAGCAGGCGGCTGCGGCGGGGATGTCTAAGCAGCAGCAGGAGGAGGTGGAGATGAAAATACAGATCCTGACAGACAAGATCAACCATCTGGTTGACCAGGCAGAGAAGGCAGGCTGTCAGGTATATCATATTTTAACAAGGCATTTTCTCTTTTATACATTGCAGGGGACATTATTTCCAAAATTAACACTTGACAAGTTGGCCCATTTCTAACATTTCTAGTGTTAGAAATGGGCACAAATTTGGTTTTGGGATCCGGGCTCATATCCAGAGTAAAAGTCGATAATAAAACTATAACCAACATTTTATAAAGCATGACGAGGACAACAATTCCCAATTTAAAACTTTTTCTGAAATCAAAATTATAAAAGGAGTTCATAATAAGAAAAGTTGATTAAATTTCCCGCATTTTTAATAAACAAGTTCCCGCATTATTAGTTAAATCTATATTGTAAGAACAAAAAAATGTATTTTTATTTCTCAATGCTATAATGATTTTTAAATCATAATATAACAGAATTTGTTTATTTTCTATTTTGTTTTATTTTTCTATTTTTCTTTATAAAAAAAATCTTAGTTTGTTACGTAAGTGTGTAAATGCTTGAAAATTAATATTGATATGAACTCGAGTATTATTCTCAAAACCATGATATGTTCCAAAAATGCGACTGCGACATGAGCTGAAATGCGGTAATAGTTTCAAAATAGGGATTTGTTCGAAAATGAAAACGAGTATTATCAACAACTAATTCTTTCACTTCATTATTAGTTTAAACTTGTCATTTATCGTTTTAAAAAAAGGTTTATCCATTTTTTAAAAATATATGGTGTAGTTTAGTTCAACTCGGCTTGAATTTAAAGATATATACGCTTGAAAAAAGATAACTTTGCAGATTTGGCCCATTTCTAACACTCAGGCCGAGTGTTAGTTTGAGAAGTAATTTCCCCTGCATTGAAAAACAAAAAATTCATTTTAATAAAGGGGGGTAAAGGTCACGACTTTGAAACAATACGGCTGCGGAAAGAGAATGATTTCATTTAAATAGATTAAATTAAGTTACGGCTTCTCATGGGGTCCAAGATCCATATAATTCCATGTCTGATCCCAAATGGGATCGGGGTTGAAAGAACATGTAGGGGCATAAAATCAAATATCTGAGTCATTGTGAACTTTGGCAAGTTTTTTTTTTGTACGTGTACTACACTTCAGAAATGTGTATTTCATTTGGGGCTTTAAAAGATTTAAATATCAGTAATCAATATAAGAGATAAATTTTGATGCACAGAATACTCCCTTGCAGTATACACTATACATACAGGGTGTCCCACGAAACATAACAGTATGCAGGACGACTTGAATGTCGTCTTGATTTTTGATATAATTTGCTGCGTTTATTTGTCAACCTAATTTTAGAAGTAAATTTCTA